AGAGATCCGGAAAAAATTTAGTTTTAACGCTCGTGGTGGGCTAAAACGCTTGATACGACCGCGCTACCTGACGTGCTAATATAAAATTCAAATAATCCAAAAGGTGAACAAGAACCGATAATGAAGGTATAATTTGCGGTGCAAATAAACGACATGGTTCTAGCAACATGAATGTTATTATCTTTTGTGACGTTTATTCATATGATCTGTGTCGATAATTATAATTCGTGTAGCGGAGATTATGGGCGACGAGGAATAGTAGATCCTTAACTGTTAAAGCGAAAAGCTATGCCAAATTGTTCCATATTTATGATTTCGGAGTATATTATTATTAGGTCCGGAAATTGAAACTTCAAATTGACGAAGAAAACATTCATTTGGTAACTTTACCATAGAAAATTAAGGACTCACAAAATGAATGATAATTACCAACAAAGATATTATTGCGATTAAAAAAATATATATTGAATAAACAAAAACAAAAATGTATTACCGATTTTTTCAAGATTTTGTTTTTTATATTTCTCTTCTTAAAGCCTTTTACATAATTTCGTGTTGTTTTTGCTAAAAATATACCTATATTTTGGGTTTTATGTGCATCTTCCTCTTCTTCTTCTTATCTTCCTACGAAGGTTGGCGATCCATATAGCTAAACGAATTTTGGAAACTGCTGTTCTGAAAATATCATTTGACGAAAATCGAAACTATCTTCGCATGTCCTCAAGGATCCTCCGTAGGATTTCGTATTTTGAGCCTCTCATCATATGCCCAAAGTATTGGGTTTTTCTTATTTTTGTAGTTGTTAAAAGTTCTTTTTTTCTTTGTTCATCCTTGTTGCACCCAGGGAATACGAAGAAGACGCCATTTCGAAAGCCTCTAGTCTTTTTTCGGAGCAAGGATCAAGGATCCAACACTCACACCCATATAAAAGCACAGAAAACACGTAGGCCCTCAGCATCCTCATTCTGAGTTCCAGATTAAGTCTAGTTTTATGGAAGAATCTGTTCATATGCCTGTGCGATTCTGGAGTTTACCTCTTTCCTTGGATTCCACTTTTCATTTACGATGGTGCCCAAATATTTAAATGTGGATACGCGTTCTATGACATTCTCTCCAACTTTAAGATGTTCCTAAGTAGCAGTTTCTTTTTTTGTTATTGATATCCATTTAGTTTTCTTTCCATTCAGTGTCAATCCAGACTCTCTACTATGATATACCACTCTATCTATTGGATTTTGTAGATCTTGCATGTTATTGGCTATTAGAATAGTATCATCCGCGTATCGCAACTTGTTTATGTGGTTACCATTGACGACTATGCCTTCAGTGGCTTCGTGTGAGGCTTCCCTAAATATGGCGTCTAAGTATAGGTTGAACCAGAGTGGCACGAGAATACATCATTGTCTCACCCCTTGACTTATTTTTACTGCTACCGATCTTTCTTGTCCAATTTTCATTTCTGCTGATTGGTTCCAGTATAGATTTTTGAGTATGGTAGATCTCTTTTATTTATGTTAGTTGATTTCAGGATTTCTATTAACTTATTACGTCTTACGCAATCAAAAGCCCTATTATAATCTACAAAGCATGCATAAACATCTACGTTCATATCTTTGTAGCGTTGGACAAGTACATTTAGAGAAAATAAAGCTTCACGTGTCCCCAAGCCTTTTCGAAATCCGAATTGTGTGTTATCCATGTCCCTTTCACACTTATTACTTATTCTAGTGTGTATAATTCTCAGGAAGACTTTGAGAACATGTGACATTGGACTATTAAACGGTTGTCGTCGCATTTTGTTGCTCTTGTTTTTTGGGCATGGGGATGTTGAATAGGACTACTATTTATTTGATAAATTAACTGGTCCGATGTCTCTTCTTTCGCTGTCTTATACTTCTAGCCCATTAAACAGTTGTTCTATATATCGTTCCCACGTCTTTAGGTTGTTTTCAGTGTTCAACCTAATTTCATCGTTTTCGTTTCTCAGAATTGCTTGTTGTGGTTTCTTAGTCTTTCCTGCTAATTTCTTTACTTTCTTATGCAGAACGAAAGTATCATGTTTCTCTTGTAGTTGTTGCAAGCCAAGCTTCTTCTGCTTCTCTACATTTCTATTTAATTCGTTTAATTTTGTTTCATCCTTCTTTTTATATACACGTCTCTCATCCATCAGACTCAAAATCTCTTCCATCATCCATTAACGTCTCCTTCTTGTTTGTGCTCTACCCAGTGTATAATATTTAGTTCTTGTTTCATCGTCGTCCATTTTGATTCGATGCTTCAGTTCGTTTTATCTGTTTGGTCCTTAAATTTCTCATCTAACTGATCTTCTATTTGCATTTTTATTTTGGGATCGTTTAGTTTCTTTATATCTATTGGGTTTGGTATTTGCTGTCTAAATGGCATTTGAAATTTCATCAGTACAGGATTATGATCCGAACCTGCATTCGCTCCAGGGTATGTTTTTACTGCTTTTACGAATTTCTTCATATCCGAGTATGAAATCTATCTGGTTTCTGGTTCTATCGCCAGGTGACCTCCATGTATTGAGTTGTGTGGGTGGCACTTTAAAGAATGCGTTGTTGAAGATGATGTTATTCTCTGCACAAAATTGAAGGAGTCTGTCACCTCGGGTGTACCTTTGTCCAAAACCGTATTGTCCGACTATTTCATTATCCGTTCCCAACTTTCCAACTTTAGAGTTGAAATCACCCATAACGACAGTCACTTCACCGTTTTTCACCAGTTTCGTTATATCTTCTATTCCTTATATAAATATAAAAGGGTTGTCTTAGTCCTGGTTAACGAATTTTGCAACCTTATGCGCCCTTTTCTGTCATCACCAGCTTGGAAACAAATAAATCTTTAATATAAGCGTATGCCAAGTTGCCCTTATTTTCAACGATGTCGTTTATCAATTTTTAAATGCATGAAAACATGTTCTTAGAGATATACAAGATGTATTATTTTTTATAGTTTTTCAATTATTCCGGTTCCGGTAATGAAATCAAGATGGCTGGCCAAAATTCCGGACAAATATTTGCTCCTGAATAAACACCGGTCTGAATTCCTTAACCTAAAAATAAAACAAAGGCGATAAGCGCCTTTGGCAAGCGCGAAAGATGTTTACAAAAATTGCGGTAGGTCTCTCGTACGAATCTCAAACTCGTTGTTCCCAATTATTCATTAAATCTGACTCAGATTTCTTGTTTAGAAGGTAAGTATTGTTAGTCAACCCACGTCAAGGGTACATGACTATAAATTTGATGATAACACCTCAAACAAACTATAACCAGGTTCATCTGTTTTATGATATTTATTTTGCCCTCGATTTTGCCTGTTGTTGGTTCTTAGCCGATAAAATGCGGTAGTTCAAACATGCGACACTTGTCATTACACAGGGTATAACAAAAAAGTAGATGAATCCGTTAAGTGTATTTTGGCTACGATAATAACAAAAACATAGGACAGATAGGTAAAACATATTGAAATAAATATTTTGCAAAAGACAGACCATCAACGTGCTTTTTCTGGCTAATTCCTGATTTTATTAATTACTATTGCTCTTTTTTTGTAATATGGACGTTTGTCGCTTATAACTTTTTTGGAAAACTCTAGAAATGTCAAAATGCAACAGAGGTGAATGGATAAAAGCGACTAATTTTTTTTCTCGGTTGATATTCGACACGGCTATTTCACGAGATACAACAGCCAATCAAATTCCAAATAGAAAACTCATTTAGCGAAGGATGCTAATTTTATTTCCAAATATCTTGGCTCAATTGCCACCATGGCTTTAGTCGTAATTAATAATAATAATAATAATAAATACATTTACATAAAATACAACAAAAAGAATATACCACAACAGAGTTGGACAGGTGGCAAGGTCTAGCAGAGCTACTCCACTTAACCACCGATACAATGTAGAAAAATATTCAGAATTTAATTAAAAAAAACCAATATAAAAAAGTTCCTTAAGTCCACCTAAATTCATAATTTGACAATTTTAAACAAATCAAAGGGGGTTTTTCGTTCGTAGTAATTTTATAGACTAAAGTAAACAGATGCACAATATCCCTTTCAGACAGATTTAACTACTGAGAATCCTTGAGATGATCAAATATAGCTGTATCTCAAGCAGGCACTTTGCAATTTTTGTAAGCTGTATTTCCGTCTTAGAACCGGGCAGTATACAACGTCCGCATATCTCAGATTATAAGACAATCACACAATTTAAGTCTAATCTCAGTAGATTAGCAGTCTATATATATGTAAGTTACTTTCAGTTTTCCGTAGGACTTCTGCAGTAAATAAGATAAAAAGATTTCAGATCATTGTACTGGATAATTTCCTCTTTTTTATTACCAAAAAAAACAAACTGGGCTTTGGAGATTCTAGAAATCACTTCAAGATCCTCATTTATGTCATATTTCTTGACACATCCCGAGCCCTAAAAAGGTCATAAGTGACATTAAGCAGTCCTGTGGTCGTACTTTGCCCAGGGCTAAACCCTGATTCGAATCAGCAGCATGATTATTAAGTTGATCATATCCACCATCTCCAATATAAGAGTAAGCTAATACGGCGAAAATGTTTCAGATGGTGAAGTTATCTTAGCAACAGGTATTATATTAGCTTCATTCTACAATGAGGGAAATTTACTGGTAATAATAAACGTCACCAGTGAGGAGTGATTAAAGAAAATGTTTTCAGATCGATACCGTCCACACTCTTTATAACAGTTGCGGAAGTTCCTGACTAAATATGTTACTTATGTCAACTTCTTGGAAAATTTGTGTCAAACGTATACGGAATACAAACATTTTCCCCCCTAAAAATTATTTTTCATCACCGGTGAAATCCTTACGGTGATTTAGCAATCTGTGAAATCTTTGTGAAAGCGTGCGTGAAATGTTACGTAATATGTTGTACCAGTTTGCCACTGGGTCATTATACTTTCCGCTCTGTAGATTATCGAACTTATGCGCAGTAAAACTCACCGGTCACGTAATGCAGAAGCAACGCGCAGAGCGGATAGATGGCGGGACTGTACACGATATCCGGACAGGCGTATCCCAGCACAGAAACGACCCGATCCGCCGAAGCGCGCCCCGCCCTCGTCAGGTGGTAGGCGTGGCAACGAGACGGTTCGACGAACGGCGGAAGACTGACCGGACGTTCGGGTAATTCGGACGTACCGAAAACTTGAACGACCATGTCCCAATAGAAACCGTCGCCCGAAACCCCGCCCGCAGCGTGGTGCTGCGCGCAAAGCATCGGCCACAGTTCTCTGCGAAAAACGAGAACTAAATTTCATTTTTTTCCATTTACCCTTTGGACGGTTTCGTTGTTTTCGAAAACTCTTATAAGTCAGTTAAAGTTATAGTTACAAGTTATAAATTTTTTTTAACGCAATAGATCTACGGCATAAAAAAGAACAAACATTATTTATAATATAACTACTGAATAAAAATTTGCTGTGGGTGTATCTTTAATTTCAGTTTTTTGCTACGAAGCGGCACAATGTTAGAAAAAATAAGAAGAAGCTGGGAATAAAATGTCACTTGCCTGGAGAAAAACAGTAAAAAGGCGTTTTTAACAATATTGTGATTATTTTCTCAAAAAAAAAATCTCCCAACATTAAAGCAAATTCGTGGTCACGGTATACAGGGTATCCCATTTTCATGTGCCATTACTTATTATCAAAGACATTTTGATGTTATACACAGTTTTTTATTGCAATTTAAAAAATAAATAAATGAATGAAATATATAATTTGAATCCAAAGTTTGTTTGCCAGGACCGTCATCAGAGTCAGAAATTTTATTTTCGCTATGTTTTAAGCAATCTCAAACGTTTTAAAACTAAACTTCTTCAAAAACTACTGGATAAACAAATTAAACAAGTTTCTAGGTATAGTCGGTACGATTTACGATGGCATAGTAGATAGTAAAATGCAAGACAGAATAAAATATATTGGTCATCTTGCTTTCACCTATACTTCAGCAGATGTTGTTCCGTAATGCAAGACAGCCGTCACTAATGATCACAATTATATTACTTGGGAATAAGAGCGACAGAATCAGTTGTAATTAGCAATTATTAATTTTACTGGCCCGCCCAGGCTGCATTTTTTATGTAATAATAGATCAGGATGTTCCTTAACGTTATGCTAATATTTAATTAAGGGAATCTATGTGCAAAAATTATGATAGTTATGCAAAAAAATTGAAACAATACCGAAAAAACTGGAAAATAAAAAAAAACATATCATACAAGTAAACTATATTTAGTTTGTATTTAGGATGAAACATATTCATCATCAGAGCCAAAAATTGGAACTGCTACTACCAGAAAATGATCCTTCGTATACATTAATAAAAAGTAACAAGTTTTGGTACCGTTATATCAAGTGTATTCTATTTTTCCCTGTATTCTTTTATTATATTTTCTATACTTGTTATACAACTTATCCAATTTTCTTCGGTGAATGTCTGGAGAGCTGCCCTCCAAACATACACTACTCCAATATCATCGTGCCTAGCCTCACTTACAATATTTTTACTTAAAAATAGTTTGCCATGAACTCACACCAATTCAGTGGCATTAAATACACAACCGAGTGCAATTAGGTAAAATAATGAGGCACCTTCTCCTTTGGTTTTGTGACCGACTGAACCAGTGCAAATCGTGCGACTATAGAAAAGTCAGATTCACGAAGAGAATGGTATGCCATCGGATTCAAAAGACTTTTTGTTTTTTAATTTATTTTTTAAAGTACGTAAGAACTCTTCCTCCACAAAAGGCACCAAGTAAAAACTCACCATTCACATCCCTAGTAACACCCGGACCAATAATTTTGTTATCCAACTGAACGGAACTAACAATATTTTTAGGAGCACCTATGAAATAGTTTTGAAGCAGTTTTTCAAAAATGTGGTGGAAACTACTGCAATTATCCAGAAATTAGTGCTATCTGTGTACTGGCAGGTAAATGGGTGGGTTTTATGACCGACTATGCTCTCAGAAATCGTATAGACTATAACTATGTACTAAAGGAACATTACTATTACTTCGCGTTTGATTCTCATATGAACACTTGTTTGATACAAGTTACAAGATACAACAAGTTTCTGTAATTCTTTTTTTTTCCCTTTCCTCGGGTTAGATAGAACTGCATACTAATCTTTAGTGGCCTCAATCTCGAATTTGTGATATACGAAACAAAAACTATAGACCATGATACCTACTTTCGTATCGGATGGTTGGCAGGCCACGAATTAGACCGCAATATTTGCTTGACCTCATGCTTGCGACCAGACTGCAACAAGATCCGTATCTCGGATGCGGTTTTCAATGGTTTAGTGGCCGACGTGGGACTCTGGGGCACGACGACGACCCCCGTCGAGTCCACGAGAAGGGTAAAAGGTCCCCCCAGAGACGTGGAGGTCCCGTCAGTAGCCCCATTCACATCTAGCGTCCCGTCTTCGACTATGAGCATCGCAGAACGCGTAGAAATGCCGTTACCGCTGTTACCGTTGGCTGGGTGTTTCGCGGGGTCGGTCACAGCGGCGGCGGCAGGGGCCGACGACGCGTGCCCTATGTTAAATCTTGAAACATCGCTGCGATATTATCTGAAAACCAGAAGGGAAACATTGAGTCGAGTCATTCGATTAGAAAAAATACAAAACAAAAATATTGAAGCACCAAAATGCAGGGTGTTTCAACAAACGCTTTGCTTATAAACTTGCGCGCATAGAAATCGGTCCGTTGTGAACTTTTGACTTCAATTTAATTGTTTTGGAAACTACTGACGAATTTCTTGTGGAATGTTAAGACAGTCTTCCTCTCCTGTAGCAATAAGCTCTGCGATCAAGGTTGGGGTACGAAGTCTAGATCGAATTCTCCGTTTTAGCTCATCTCATAAATGTTCGATGGGATTGAGGTCGGGATTGCATGGTGGCCACTCCATGCGGTGTGCGGTACACTTTCTATCTTCGGTTACTACCAAAAAGGCACATTCTGGTCTCATCTGAGAACAGGACAGACCCCCATTGGTCCAATGTCCAATTCAGATGATTCCATGCAAAACGTAGGCGTGCTTGTCGATGAGCTGGAATAAGTTTTGGACCAATTGCAGTTGTTTTTGGGGTCAGGTTATTTTTCTTCAGTCTTGTTCTCGCTGTCCACTGACCAAAGCGGTCATCACGAGCCGTTTCAGGGCGCCTAGTGTAGTATGCATCAAGCTAACATAATTAAACGCTATCCAAACGGATAAAAACAAACAATGTGAAAATTCCAGTTTCAACGGCGATTAGTTTATGTCTATAGCAAGTTTTCATAACTACTGCATGGACACTTTTCACTTCTTTAACCCTAGCTACGCGTATACAAGATCAGCACTCTTGACAAATTTGAACTCATACTAAAGCATATTAAATTGTCATCTAGAAAAAAAAAATACTAAAGTCAACAATTTACAATGGGCCGACTTCTATGCACGCAAGTTTAGTTCATATAATAATAATAAATAGACTTTATTGAAATTGTACAATAATTACAATTGGCGAAGTTGAAGCAATGCTATCTTAACTACAATATTATAGCCGACAATAAAGTTCATTATCTCATTGGTTTGTGCTCGTTTCGGGAGTACCCCTTAGATGCAATAAAATGTATTGGATCGGTAGAATTGTAGAAAAATAATAACAAATAACCTAATAATACGACCAAAAATCTTCGCAGAACCGTGGTAAATCCCATCCCAACAGATGTTTACTCTGCATTAACTAGGTCTTGCCTGAGGTGGACCATCACAAATGTTTGTAGAAACTTAAGCATTGATGATATTTTCGAATAAGTAGAAGCGTTTATTTTAACATCAAATACTGTTATTGTGTTGGATAATAGCTGGTATCATTCAGACCAAATTAGAAAAATTCTAAATACCTCTTTAAATAAATGATTTATATTTTGAAGAGAGCTAGACGAAAAAACAACTTCTGGAATTATTAAAAATAAAACATTTTAATAAAGACTACAAAATCGATTCGATAGCACAACAAAACCCCGAGAACGATTAGTGGCGGAATTTTTTATTATTATTATTATATTTTACATTTTGCATTTTAATAATGATACTATGTAGAAATGTAATGATATAAATCGCAATAAATTGTTACTTTGTACTAAAAAAACATACTGATATCCCGCTTGTTAGTGTAGGTAGATAAATTCCTAGGACGGTCCTGGAATAGTTACGGATAAGGATCTGCTCGGCAGGGTTATCTATAAGGGGCTGCGGTTTGGGAGTAATAAATAATAGACAAAGCTAATCACGGATTGTAAAAGCACTATATCTCTGGTTCTAGTATACAGCATATATTTTGTATTTCTTAAAGTTTACAGTTAATTTTGGACGAACCTCGTGACACAAGTCTGGAGGAAATTTATTATATAATTTATGAAACATATTTTCTAGTGTTATAGAAGGATTCACATAAACACGATAAGTTAAGTCACATAGCAGAGGTGGTCGTCCATTTCTGTGGGTAATGATTAATTAGAAATTCTGGTTATTTAGAAATTCTATCTCAGTGTTATCAACTTTTTGACACTAGTCTGGAGGAACTTTATTAACTAATTTAGGAACCATATTTTTTAGTGTTATAGAAGGATTCACACAAACACGATAAGTTAAGTCACATAGTCACATAAGTCACAGATATTCTATGGGATAACAAGCTATAAAATTGAGTGTCGGGGCAGTAAATTTTGGACGAATCTCCTGACACAAGTCTGGAGGAACTTTTAGTTATTGAAAACACTTGCCTATGAAGATGCGCCTTCCTAATTTTGTGAACCCTTTAATTTCCTTTTTTTTTTCTAAATATCTTAAATATTCCTTTGTTGGCAACGTCATTTATAATGACTAAATAAAAATTGTGAAGTCCAGTGCCGTTCCAATAGGTATTTTAACGAATAGTTGAGCGACTGACTTTTTTGCAATTTTTGCTATTTACTTTGAATAAGCCGTTAAAAGTAAAACTTTTTCGTTTTTTCATAAACTTTGGTCACCAATAATGTTGGGACTTGACCGGTCAATTCACCACTTTTTAATTGACTAGTCAAAAAATGTTTCAAATAACATCTTGCAATTGTAGAATGTTATGTAATGTAATGTAATGTAAATGTATTTTATAAATAAATAATAAATGCATTTATGATGTCCAATTTACCTATAACCCTCTTCCCAATTATAATAATATTGATACTACTTTTAAAATTATTTCTGTCAATTGACACCAAAAAAAATGACGGGTCAATTCCACAATCGTAGTCACAAGGAACTTAGTTCAAAAAAATTAATACTAAAGCAAATTTTAAAAACTGACAACCATGAACTTCATTGAAGATTGTAGCTTACGATGCAAGGATTTTTCCGCAAGCCGTTTTTTTTTTAACATTGGAAAATACACATTGGCGTCCCTCATATCTAAGATGTCACGATTATTTTAAAAATTTTGAAGTAACAGTGTTCAACACTGATGGCAGTTTTCACGTTTCACTGGTGGTACATGCTTGAATGGTAAATGGAAACAACAAAAACGATATTGAGAAATGATCCAAAAAAAATTTAAAACACCTTTTCCGCATCAGATTGTTGATATTCTAAATATTCCATTAGATATTTTTAATCTAAGTAATAGATTTCTGTTTAAAATTGTTAAAATCCCATTTGGGAAAACACACTCTTTATTTAATTTTGTAAGAGAACGGGGTCCTCTCGGGGTGAAGTGGGTAGCACGAAAACATAGAAGAGACTTCTTACTATTTTACTGATGTTGCGTGTCTTTAACAATTGCGTGAAATAAAACGAAAAAACTTCGCTTCCGTAGCGAGACGCCGTCGAACAACAACTCCTGTATCGGAATCCGGACTCGTCGGCTCGTCGTGACGTGCCGGGGTCCGAGCGGGATCAAAGGGTTTTTGCTATTATTGCTATGTTTTCAAATATATATGCGAAATTTATATTTTTTGTATATTTTAAATGGTGTATATTATTTTATGGTTTTGTTAGTACTCCATACTTTTTATCTGAGTCCTGTCCAGTTGACGTTAATTTTTGACGAACTTTGTTTTATTTATTAGGGAGCTTCAGAACTGACCATCCGGATCTCTCAATTTGTAGATTTTCCATTTCATTCCATTTTTCAAATAGTGCATTGACTCTAAGTAACACGAAAAGTATGAAAAAATTTTCTAATTATAATTAAAAAATATATTTTTTGCTGTCGTTTGCGGTAATATGTGTAATATTTTTTATATTGTCTATTGTAAATGTTGTACGTCAATGGCGATTTAAATTAGAGCTTACGTGCTTGTCCTTTTTAGTGACTGTGTGTCGATGACTATCTGAAGACTTTTTAAATGTTATATCAAATCTCTGTGTGTGTATGAAAAATACTTGTATCATTGTCATGAACGAAGCGATTTACTTGTCTACTTACTTTGGACCTGTATAAACTAGATAGTTATTATAAAAGTGTGTTGGCCATGTCTTTACTAACCTAAATCCAGACATACATAACTCACGAAGAGTTACTTTTTATAAAACTTCTGGATGCCTCGTGCGTCGGTTGTTGTTGACTCGAACTAGCTAACGTTTCGTCAATCATCCTGTTGGCTTCTTCAGAGCTTGATTGAAACTGTTTCAGTCGAGTCAACAAAAACCGACTCAAGAGGAATCCAGAAGTTTTATAAAAATTATTACAATAGCCTCTGGAAACCCAAAACAGTTATTGTAATGTTTTCGTATATTTTCTTTTTTTTTATTTCTTGTGTATGAGTTTTTGCGTTCCTTAAATATGGTCGACGAAACCTTTTCAGTTCAACAACAAATTCATTCAAAAAATTAACCCAGAAATCTCTTAAAGTGATAAAAAACATTGGCAATGGCAATGTCGTGGTCAATGAAATAAAAGTTTATTTGTTCCGAACCATATTGGATTTTAACAACTGTGAAGATCGCGTTTAACGGGATGTAGAGAACTAATTCGTGTCAATTTTAAATGCCTTAACACAACACACTGTAGGTTCTTTTTACTTGCAGTTTTTAGTCTCGAATCCTGTAGTTTGTAATGCGAATACAAATTAAAGTATCGAAGTCGGTCACCACGTACACTTTTTGATTTGATTTTTAGTTTCGAAAAATATGAAGCTCGTTAGTTAATTAACTAAATGCCGTTTGCGGTCCAAAAATTTTGAGTGATTTCTAGTTTTTTGCGAGTTGATTTTTTATTTTCCGTGACTATGGCCAAATAATAAAATAAACATTTTGTTTTAAATCTGTAAATTGTAGGATGCTTTTGCTCCTTCACGTTTAAAAACCTTAGGCAACATTAATTACGGGTTTGCGAAAAAAATAACAATTAGATGTTCGGTTTTTCTCGATTTCACAAAAAATGCTCTCGAATAAATAATAAGTTTTGCAAATAATAGCCTTAGGTTACATCGGCAGCATAAAGGAGGGAACATGGGCATATATTGCATTAACCCTAAAAACGGAAAACAAATAATTATCGATTGAGAAGCTACGAGATAAACGATTGACAGAAAGTTTGTTCCCATAGATAACTATTAAGTACACAATAGTTTGTTGACATTTAAGAACTGCAAGAAATAGGTAGTATTAGAAACAAGTAATAGAAACAAAAAATACTTTTTCCGGTAGTTAAAAACAAACTGGGACATAAACTCGGTGAGTGAGGCTGATGAGTAACCAAGGTCGCGGGAAGAACCGAAATGAATATCAGAAATTGCTTACGCTAATACAAACCTCGAGACCAAACCAAAATTAACAAAGAAAATATTACAAAAAAATGTCTTAGCCTCGGTGGCCTTAGTTCATTATTTGGAAAGTTTGAAGAAAATAAAAAATTAATTTAAATAGTTTGTGTGTTCCAGTAACATTGGACTCGAATTTCAAGTTATTCCTGCTTAGCTAACTTTAAAAAATTACTATTTATAATGCTTTTTCCAGCATTATTCTGCATTAACTTAGACATTCTTTACAGGTGTTGTTCAAATAAGTAAAATATAAATAAGGCGAGATATTAGGTATATTAAATTAAGTGCTACAATCCCGAGGGTAATACTGTGCTAATTGCTATTGTCGAGACTAATATGCTTTAGAGTTCTGGTAGCTTTAAAAACGTTTGCTCAACAACTAACGAAAAATAAAAAAGAAAGTCTTTAAAAATTATTCATCTACTTGAGCAATAAAACCAGAGGATCAGGGAAGACTTCTAATTGAAAATTCTTAATTACCAACATGTAACTCACTAATGCTAATATTGATCTACTAAACTTTATGGCCGTAATAAATGTACTTGGTTCATGTCGTCATATTCTAAGCCGCAATATACAAGGTGAATAATATGAGAATGACGAAGGGTTTCTACATACTCCTACAAAAGGCATATTCTTCATTGAATTTATTATTTGAAACAATTCAAATGCTCCTCATTTTTGTTGAAATTCTGCAACCTATATCAGGCGTTGGCAAAAAAGTTTCTGGAGACTAAAGGAACTGCGTCAAGAACGACACAGTTTTAAAAATACTGCCGACTCTGTAATCTTGGAATTTTGGACAAAGTTGATGCAAAATGTTGGGAATAAATCAAAAATAACATAGGGAATTCCACGGATGGTAATTCGAGTTGCGCCATATTGCATTGTAAAACGGTTTTTTTTTTATTTTGAGTTTATTGCATTCATTTTTCACCGTTTTTTTTTAATAATAACACGCTCCATTAAGCAACCGATCCCGCCCTCAAGGAGCTTAAAATTTGAATTGTTGTAAGAAAAGATAATCTGGAGATAATCTAGAATAACCGATAAATCTGTGAAATATAGCGGTCCTAATTCCACAAAGGATTTTAATGAGATAACCAGAGTTAATTATCTATTAAAAATATGGGGTGCTTATTCTGATGGTACAAGCAAATAACTGCCTACTTACAATCTGTACGAGATAATGGTGTTAATTAAGTTGCAAAGGCTTTTGGGCAGACATTAGATACAAGAACTCCGAATCGATATGACTGGTTGCTAATCCGCTCACTTCACAGCCACGGTAATTTTTTCACTTGCTAGAAACACAATAAAAGTCGTAATTTCTTCAAATCGCCAATGTTTACACACAAAATACGAAACTTGACACTTCCGAAGGATACCCGCACAGTTATTTCCTTTTTAAGCCGAGACTCAACCAATTCGGTCACTGTACACAGTGTACTAAACGCACGAATACGAAACGAACTAACACACTTATGACTCCATGTAGCGAGCAAATTGTCAATGCGCGGATAAAGCCACTCCCATCGACCAACAGAGCCACACTTCTAAAACAAACTTGCGAGTTCAAATCTCCCAAGATACGATGGACACTGTGTATTTAAGGAATATGTAACAATCTAAACACACATGCACGTGACAACCAAGATGTCAAGCTGTTTATGGGGTATTTGGTGAAACCTAATTTAAAAGAATGGAAGAAAGTAAGCTTCGAGCATAGGCAACACAATAAACTTTCAATTTTCAAATTCATACCGTTAAAATCGTAAAAAACAGGAAGACTAGTCCATTGCTATTCACTCCTTTTAATAAATGGTTTCAAAATAATTTTTGAGGCATTTATTGAAATTTAAATACTTAACTTTATTTACAAAAGTTGTGCCGACATCTACCGATCAATATATTACACTATGAAGTTCATATTACAGATTCCATCTGTAATATTCCAAATCCGAACCAACTCAGCTTCGGGTTACATTCATAAATTTAATGGAACCAGTGGATTTATTAAGGTAGTTTTAAACGTATGAAGGCACCATCGATAGTTCCATAGAAACGGAGACAATTAAATTATTTTCCAAATTTAAACAATACTACCCTGCCATTATAAACCGACACCTCCAGAAGCGACATATGCATCTGTCAAATCACAAATTTCAAAAATTAACTGGATCCACGCGAAATTTGTGTTAACCCTTTCCGTTGATCAGCCAATCAATTGGCATGGGTGGTCAGGTTAAGGTTATCGAAAATTCCGAGAAGTGGCGCCACCTGTTTGTAAAATTTAGGTTGCGGTGGAGGTATTTGTTTTTTGATAATTATCAAAATTACAAAGTCGTTAACGCAACAAATAACAAAAATAATTGCTTACGTTTAAATTTTTAGTTAATAGTGCTGTGTACGTGTTTCGTTTGAGCGAACGGTATCACAAACTGGTTAAACTCAACCATGATACGGCCATGTTTACCGTATTGAAAGTAGGCTGTGTGTTGTGCGTTTATTTCATTCTTTTGAGTGAAGTACTAATTTTTTTGAAGTACAAGTGAACGGCTTTTCGTGTCGCAGCGATATGGATAACTCTGATAGAGGTAAGTTGTACTTTTTAACAAAGAAAATGCTGTTTGGTACATTGCCGTAATTGTGGAAAGGGCAATGGCAAAGTCAGGGTCGGCCTATTTAGTTCACTGACCGCATTTCTGAACCGCTATATTTTTTTAATTTTAGAAAATCGCTCGTTATATTTTTAGAGGTAACATTAGCTGCAATTTTAAGTAAATTAACAGTATGTACCAGTTGTTAAAATAAAATAAAATACATTAATATAAAATAGAATTATTATATATTCAAAGAAATTCAAATTTATCACAAGTCACTCATTAATTTATACTATGAAAACAATCTTGAATGTTATTTTAGTTCTCACTGTCCGGATTTATAGAATTTTTTAACAACTAGTTGAGGTATCCGTTACGAGATGGCGCAAGCGTGTTGTACCTTGAAATGCAACTATTTTATGTTGGTGAAAACTGACAAGTTCAACCAAATAAAATATAATTATATATAAATCAAGTATATTTATATATGAACCAGCCGATAAATTAAAATGGAAAAGACTTTTTACCTGCGATTGCATATTGCATGTGTAGGCGTCACGTGGTTTAGGGTGTGACAAAAACTAATGTAATTCTATATTTTATAATTTATATTGAACGGTTATATTGAACGGTTCGGTGCGGTTCGAAGAGGGCTGTTGAAAAATATGTGAGCCAGGAGATTTTCAAGAAAAAACTCCACGCCATATAGAATTTAAAATTTCTGGACCAAAGTGGGAAGTAGACTAGAGCAATCAGCCGGAGAATTCAGGTCAAGGTTGCCGGAAAATTGTGTTCCCGTTGAGTATTTTTGGCTCCTTGAAGGCGCTCTTATTTAATCGGAAGAGTTGATCGGTTTCACCCCTAGGGGTGTCGGAATTTGGGTCACCGGGGTCGGACTTGGGGTATATTTGATCTGTTTTTCGCTGACTATCTGGACTTGTTCACTGCTCGCTGACTATAATTGGGGTGAAAGTAATTTAAAGATGTTTTTTTGACGAAGAGCTAGATGATCACATAAATATGCTTATATTGAAAGGATTGCTGGAAATTAGTAGTGAAGAAAATTTCCATAGTATTGAGATTGATGAATTTGATCTTTTTGTAAGTTCACTTAATTTTTTTGACGACTTTATTGCTTAATTAATTGTAAAGCAGTTAAAAATCGGACTTCATCGAAAACTTTCATAGTGATAGGACTTTTGTGTATAATATTGATTGGTGTTTCTTTGATTTGTAGGAAATAGAGAAATAAATAAAAGTCTATACCTATTAATTCTTTGTATACCAAATTGGAATCTGTAGTTTTCAATTATACAGCAGGGATTCTGTTCTACCTACACGTTGAAATAGTGCCTTCTTTTTTATAATTAAAGGATAGAGGGCCCCAATTACGATCCTGTCCACAACAATTTTGTTATTCCCCCCTTTTACTCGCAGCTCCATGGTAATAGGGATCTATGCTTGCCACGCGTTGAATCCGAAGTTGGATTCCAGTATTCCGAGTTGGGTCAAGGTCGATCCACATCGGAAACTAGGTCCCGACAACCGACCGATTGGGCACACAAGAATAAAAAAAACTCTATTGTTGTTTGGGAGACAGGTTGTTTTTTTAATGGAACATCCTGAATGAGAATGATAATAACGGTCTTTATTTGAATTATAAGCAATGTTAAAATATGGGATTCAGCCCTCTACTTCCTACCCTAGTACTTCCTATCCTGTTCCATTTAACCCTAACCCGAAAGAAGAGAAAGAAAAAGTACATAAATTTACAATTATTAGAATCACAATTATGTTACTTAAAGACTATAATTGAAATAAATAATTTGCCTTGAAGACGTTAAGCATTTAAACTTGGAACAACGTTATATGAAATAGAACGTTTAATAATTTCAGAGTATGGTCTGTTCATAGATATAAGAAAGTGACCAATTGCTGTTGCACGGATTATCCAAGGGTGGTCATTAACATACAAGATTATTACCTTAATTAATAATTAATAATTAATTAATTAATAATTACCTTAATTAATAACAAAAAATCTGTTTTGGTACATAAATTTCAAGCCAAATAAATAATGTAGATATTTATAAATATGCACTGAAAACCTGAACTCCTTGTCTATTATCATACCTAACATAAGTTTTGTTTTATCTAATCACAAAGTTTTTTTTTTTAATAGAAGGTTGTCCGTTTTTGCCAAAAATAATTGTATATTTAAAAAAGATTATAGATCGCCTTTCCCTAAATTAAATTATATATATTGTAACATTGATCCAGTGGTTTTAAAAATGTAAGAAAAGTTAGAAAGTTTGGTTCTCGGTATGAAAACGCTGTGAACGACCTTAAATTATCCAAAAGTCGGAATTTAATTACCGAACGAACCTGAGTTTTTTTAATAAATAATTTTAGTTTGCTTTCATGTTGTAAAAATAGTCATTCCAAAAGTATTGCAAAAATAGCCACACTGTTTCATCATACTTTGCCGCTCTTTGTTCTGTTAACGCAAAAATGAATTTTCCGCAAGAACTAAATCTGTTTTCAGAACTTCTTAAAATTTTAGAAAATATCCCCTCTTCAGGATGACATTTTATCTAACGAATTCGAGTCGTTTTTATTTAAATTTTAGGCTTAAGGGGAACAGCATTTTTGTGTGAATTATTTAAAAAAGAATTTATATTTGCTGTGTTAAATGAAGAGAAGAAACGAAACTGTATGCTATTTTTCGTATAGCAAAAAAAAATCAAAAGAAATACACAATACAGAAACCACATTCGGTAATAATCCAAAGCTTAAGATATAACAATCAAATATTAAGGAGTGCTGTTTCATTTTCTGAGACTGTTTGGTCACTTACAAAGGATCGTACAACTCACGGTGAGTCTTGGCTGTATAAACTATAGACGTTATTCCATTAGCTTTTATGTAAATAACCATCTTTTCACTTCTATACAGTATCACCAATTTTTTGGGTCAAATACAACAAAAGTAAATATGTTTTATCTAGAAATTTCTTGTTTTAACTAGTTAAACCGTTTTTACTGTAAAATTTGGGGTTAGATAATGAAATTTTGAAATTTTCACAAAAAACAACGAAATTTTAATGTACAATTTCTAGTTCAAACATGAAATTTTAAGATTGGGTTTTTATTATTGTGGTGAGCCCCTTTTGTATGCTTTTCGTCCTGCTAGATCCGGGCACATTTTTTTTTACATCTAAATGAACTCTATAAATATTCGTCTACTCATTAAAGGCTGCAGAATTGTTGGGGTTTATTGGTTTAAATGTAAATAAGCGTCTCCAAATTGAAATTGATAGCTTTTTTTAAGCTTAGGGGTTATCCGCCCAATACCGAACCGAAAACGTATACTCAATTAGCGTTCGATTTCTAAAATTGGAAATGAGACGTCTGCGATACCCTTTTGTTTATTCGGTAAACTTTGCCAGAACACGGTGTAGTATCGATCAGTTTCCGTCTCGCCGCCGAGTGGCCGGGGGTGGGCGGGTCCTCGCTTCACGGCACCCCGTAGTCTGTGTGCCTAAAAGGACTCGCTCCGAATTTGCGAAAGTCGGCGGTGGTTATGGTATCTAATCACACCCCGCAGAAGAGAAAAAAATAAGGTTTCGCATAGCGCCAGCTGATATAATGAAACCAAACTGAAAGTTGACATGGTGCATGATAATTTATACTGAAAAATCCGTTGAAAAAATTAATCTTAAATGATCCAGAAAAGTTTTTTAGCCAGGAGATTTGGCGCATAGTGCTGTGGTGTAAGCCACCCTTTGATACAGAAGACGGAGTGGCTTTTACAGATGTTAAAGTTTAAACACGAGTATAACTTTTTACAAAACCTTTGACCTCTCCTGCGTCGGTTTTTGCTGGGCGATGATTGTTGATAGTGGAGAACGTTAGCAAGTTTTAGTCAACAAAAACCGACCCAGGAGGAATCCAGAAGTTTTGTGAAAAATATTAGCACTCCGAGAAATACTGTAACTGCGGCGATAAAAAAAGAAAATAAAGTGT